CATATAGACCAGTTGCCTCCGAGGTATGTGCCCTTAACTGGATTGGAACTGGTGACTCACTGGTCTGAGGGCTGACACTCCAACTGCTGAGCCAAACTGGCCAGGGCAATGAGGACTTTTAAAATATGAAGATCTGCATATTAAGTTACTGATGGAAATAATCCTATGGATCAAAAAGTTGATTATGTAAGAATGAGATGATAATTGAATGAACATTGTCTTTGAGGAGGCAAGAAGGAATGGGACCCATCATAGGTGGAGGAACACAGTGGGGACAACTTCAAACTCAGAGTCCTTTGCTTCTCATTCCTGATTATGGGTTAATTTTCTTGTAAGCTGGGTATTCATAAATCTAGAGCCAGCTATATTTTATTATCTTTAAGTAGTAAAATATAAAGAAATAAAATTATGTCAAGCCAAATGAAAAGAACACTTTTGAAAAGAAAGTTCATTGCTTTGCATTGTTTCTTCATCTTCAACAGATTTTAAAATCTAGTTCTTAGGGAAAGGTAAGGATAGGTGAAAAGTGGAGAAGGAAAATCTGTACAGGAGAGAAGAAAGGAATTTAGCAACCACAGGTTAGATTTTTATGACTGCCTTCAACATGTGTGTTTATGTTCTATATTTAGCTAAGTACTGATAGTTAAATTGTGAGTTTATTCATGTATACTTTACCCTGATTGGGAGTGGTCACCCAAATGGAGATGTACCATAAAGACAAATTATACTTAGTGTAGGCTTCTCTACAATAGTATTATATGCAATTAAACTACTGCGTACATGTTAGTTCACTATGGAAACAAGCCCATTTACTGATAGGCTTTTGGAGAACTGTTCTGATATTTCTGAGACTGGTTTAGAGCCATTCTAGACTATCTGAAGCATCAAAACACTTTGAAAGGAGGCTATTGGTAATATAAATATCAAGTTACTACTTTTTACTAACAGATAAATGGGGGGGGGGGGAACAAATCCATTAGTAGATAGTTGTAAAAGCTTAATTCTTTTAGAACTTTTAAAGGCAAAGCTGATGTCCTTGTTTTCAAAAAGAGGTAAAAAATTGATCTCAGATAGCTAATATATTGAGGTTTACTCTATGCTGAGTACTTTGTGCACATTACCACTTCATCCTCCCAAGAACCCTGTGAAATAGGTCATTATTCTTATTTTATAGCTGAGGAAACTAAGGCTCAGAAGGGAAAACAACTTGCCAAAGGTACACTCCAAAGCCTTGCTTTTTTCTACCACACTAGCTTGTTCTCACTAAAAAGCCTGTTGATGACTTTCACAATATTCTAGGACACATTTTTGTGTGTGGTTGGGGTTGGGAAGACTCACCAGCATGGGCTCACTAAAACCAAGTCATGCACTTTCCTATGGTTCTGGTGGATTGGTGAACTGGCTTATAGTAGCAGACCAAGCCTCCTCCCTAGAACAATTAGAAAAGCAGGATGAATACAAAAAAACCATCTGTTTGAAGGTATTGGAAAGTACCAAGATAGCCAGGATTTAAGAGGCTGAGGTCTCAGAGGAGAAAGTACAAAAAGTGAGACTGACATTATGAACTGCTTTTTCCTTGGTGCATTTACCAATTTGTAAAAGGCACAGGCTGAGAGGCAGAAAAACAAAACAGAAATTGGCTAGTAAAAGGTTAAGGAACTATTGACAATCTTACAGTACTTGGGAAATACAAATTTGAGTACGTGGCAAACCGATGTGACAGGGCTCTGGAAGAGGACTTGGCTTTCATTTGGGATCTCTGAAAGACTACATTCGAGGAAGAAGGGTAAACTGTATCATAGACTAGTTTTACAAAGACTAAATCCAGAATTAGATTAATGTGATATAATTCTTTCTAATTGCTTGCCAAAGCTTAAAGAAATCCTCTCTGAAGGAAAATTGTCTCATCTAGAATCTCTGCAATTTTTCATACACAAATGTCTATCATTCAGTCAGAAATTACCAAGCATAATAAGTAACAAGGAAAAAAAAGGCAATAAAAACAGATTCACATGTGGGCTCTCTCTATGGAGCACCCGCACCTTTCCTCACCTCCCCACCCCCTTTCCTAGGCTCGCTCTCTCTGGAGCATTGGGAATCTCTCCTCCCTTCCTCCCTCCCTCCCCCCTTCTCCCTCTCTGTCTCCCTGAGCTCCAGGGGCCCTTCTTTTGCTGCAACTTGTTTCCTTGGCCCTCTTCTGCGGCTCTCTTCTACCTCTGTGACTTTCCAAATAAACCTTTTCTAAGCTGAGTCTTGGCTCTGAATTCTCTTAGCCAGAACTCAGAAACTGCAGTTGTTGAACTGAGGTTAACACCGGGTGCCATTTCTCCACCGCCAACAACACCTTGGTTCCGGCCTCCCAGCCCCAGAATGTGAGATGGCTCACCTTATGCCAAGCCAGCCAGGGTGCAGCTCTTGGGTACAGCAGTGAGGATGCAGAACCACCCTTTTTCCTTCCATCTGTCTTCCTTCCCTTAAAACAACAACAACAACAACAACAAAACACCAGATTCACAGGTGATCTAGGTATTGAGTTATCAACTTTGGATTTTAAAAGATAACTGTGAGCAATGATTAATATGTTCAAACAAGAGATGACAGATAATTTCACCAGGGAACTGTAATATATAAAAATTAATCAAATGGAAATTCTAGAATTGGAAAACAATAACAAATTAAGACTACAATAGGCAAGTTTAATAGCAGATTATGCTATTAAAGAGAGGATGAGTGATCTGGAAGATAGGTCTGTAGAAAATATTTAGATTGAAACTTGGAGAGACGAGGATAGGAAAAAAAAAACAAAAAACAAAACTCTATGAGACAGTAAAAATGGTTTAACACACATACAAATGGAGTTCCAGAATGGGAAAAGAGACAGAAGGAGGCAAAAAACTATTTGAGGAGATTAGCAGCTAAAATGTTTTTCAATCTTTTTTAAAGATTTTCATTCAAAAGCTCTATAAACTAAAGCAGGATAAATTCAAAGGATAACATAAAAAATAAAAAATTGCTCCAAACCAACAAATTAAAAGCAGCCAAAGTAGATATTATCTTTAAAGAACAATAAAATGGCCCTGGCTGGTTTGGCTCAGCGGTTAGAGCATCAGCTTGTGGACCAGAGAGACCCAGGTTCGGTTCCTGCTAAGGGCACATACCTCAGTTGCAGTTTGTCCCTGGCCCCAGTTGGGGTTGTGTGGGTGGCAACCAGTTGATGTGTCTCTCTCACATCGATGTTTCTCTCTCTCCCCCCCCTCCTTCTCTCCCTCCTGCTCTATCTGAATATAAATGCAAAAATGTCCTCATGTAAGGATTAAAAGAAAGAAAAAAGAACAGTAAAATGGAAACTAACTTTTCAACAAAAGTGGTGGAATCCAGAAGACAAAGGAGAGTTATGTTTATATAATGCTGAAAGAAAATATCTGCCAACATAGAACTCTGTACTAAGTGAAAATATCTCTCAGAAATGAAGGCAAAATAAGGTATTTGCAAGCAAATGAAAATTGATAAAGCCCTGGCCAAGTAGCTCCATTGGTTAGAACATCATCCCAGTACACCAAGGTTGTGAGTTCAGTCACATGTCGGGACATATGCAAGAAATAACCAATAAATACATAAACAAGTGGAACAACAAATCGATGTCTCTCTCTCTCTCTTTCTCCCTTCCTCTCTTGCTCTAAAATCAATCAATAAAGAAATTAATGAAATAGAAAACAAAAGTATAGTAATCAGCATACCTGAAGTTGGTTCTTTTTTTTAAATCCTTACCCGAGGATATGTTTTTTATTGACTTTTAGAGGAAGAGAGAGAGAGAAACATTGATCAGTTGCTGCTTGTATGCGCCCCAACCAGGGATTGAACCCAAAACCTGGGTCTGTGCCCTGATGGGGAATTGAACCCACAACCTTTTGGTGTAGGGGTGACACTCCAACTAGCTGAGCCACACCAGCCAGAACCAAAGTTGATTCTTTGAAAGACTAATAAAGTTAAGAAATCTTTGACAAAATATGTTAAGATGAAAAAGAGAAGGTACAAATTACCAATATTGGGAATGAAAAAGGAACATCATTTATAGTTCTTACAGATACTATAAAGTAAAATATTGTGAACAACTTTGTGCCAAAAAATTTGAAAGTTTAGATGAAATGGACAAGTTTCTGTAAAACCACAATTTTCCTAAACTGGCAAAGAAAAAATAACATTTGAATTGTGTTTTATCTTTGAAAGAAATTGAATCTGTGTCAGTCTTGAGTATGTAATTAAAAATCTTCTCTCAAAGAAAACCCAGGTTGTGATGGCTTCACAGTGAATGAATTTTCTCAGTTCTTTAAGAGGAAATAACACAAATCAAAGAACAGAAGAAAGGAAAAACATTTCCCAATTTGTATAATGAGTTCAGCAATTTTGGTCCACTACAGAGTTTCCCTTGGCTATTATTATATGTCTTAGAACTAAAGTTCACCTTATACCTTTAGTGTGTTAACACTTATTTTTTTTTAATCCTCACCTGAGGACACTTTTCTATCTATATTCAGATAGAGTGGGAGGGAAGGAGAGAGAGAGAAACATCGATGCCAGAGGGACACATGGACTGGTTGCCTCCTGCAGGACCTGACCAGGGCTGGGGACGAACTGCAACCGAGGCACATGCTCTTGACCGGAAGTGAACCGGTGACTCATTGGTCCCTGGGCCGATGCTCCAACCCCTGAACCAAACCGGCCAGGGCTAGTGTGTTAACACTTTTTAAACAGATATTTAACATGTTGGATTTTGTTTATTCTTTTTACTCAATTCAGCAAATAATCCCAGTGGCACAAAATGATCCAGTGATACAAAATTATTTTCCCTCATATGTACACTGGCCAGCTGGCGTAGAATAATATTCTAGGAAAGAAAGACATTGTTGCTGACAGGATAGCTTCTAACCCCACTCCTACTATGAAAACTGATAATAGTAACATTTAGATTAATTGCTTGCTTGTTTGTTTTTCTCCTGCAGACTCCTTTAATAATATACCTCTTTCATTTCCTGATTGACTATGCTGAATTGGTATTTATGGTAAGCAACCTTCCACATAAAATCATTATGTATTTATTTTAAATTATATTTTCTTTAATCTTGTTTTTAAGAAAAAAATCTATTTCAGGAGCTCAGGAGTTTCTTAGGATATAAAAGCAAAAACCTTATTTTTAGTTTGAATTGATGAAACTGTAATTATAGTGTGACCCTTGAACAACATGGGGTTAGGGGTGCCAATCCCCGCCCCATGCAGTTGAAAATTCATGCATAACTTTTGACTCCCCCCAAAACTTAAGTTGTCCCTCGGTATCCAGAGGCATTGGTTCCAGGACACTTCCCACCCCACCCTCTGCCATCCCATGGATACCAAAAAACCCTTGGATGCCCAAGTTCCATATATAAAATGGTGTGGATCAACGCATATAGTTGGCCCTCCACATCTGTGGACTCCCAATCCTGGAAGGAAAACAGTACAGATATTTACTGAAAAATATCAGTATATAAGTTGATCTGTGCAGTTCAAACCCAGGTTGTACAAGGTCAATTGTATTATGGAAGTATGAAGAATAGTTTATGACATCTGACCAGTTCCAATTTCTTATACTTTTAAAATTTTGATATGTGAACTATGTAGCCTTATATTTTCTAGCTCCAAGATTCTGTGATTTGCTTTCATTATGGTGCCAGTGTTAAGGGCATCCTCAGTTTCCTAAGCATTCTGCCAAGAGAGTATATCACAGGACATAGGTCTAACAAGACTTTCAGGGCCAAGAAATTGAGACGATAGGGCATAGTAGTTTGAAACACTTGCCTAATCTAAGGTTGAAAATCTGGATAAAGTAGGAGGTCCACTGAAGTCTTCCTTAATAATTATAATGGCTACTCTTTATTGAGGACTTAGTATGTGCTAGGCACTTGACATACATCAGGTCTACAAAGCAGTGGACAGTATTCCCACTTTACAGAAAACTTGGTAACTTGCAATTACAGAGCAGGTTTTCCAGTTGTATCTCTCTGAAAAGGCATTATCTTTAGGTAGTCAAAGTGAAGGCTGAGGTTCTACCTGACTGTAAGAAGTCAGTACTGGATAGTCTACCACCATCCAGAAACTTAAGGGCCTGGCAACATTCCATTACTCCTACGCTAGTTGGGTTCATTTCCTGTTATTTCTCTTTCTCTTGACAGATAACTGATGCACTCACTGCCATTGCCCTGTATTTTGCAGTCCAGGACTTCAATAAAGTTGTGGTGAGTAGTCAGTGGGTTGGACAAAACTAGTGGAATTTGGTAACATACTGGTCTCTGTTATTATAAAGAATCAAAGGTCATGCATGTACTTAAGGATCCAACTATTTTAAAATACTAAGAAGTGGGAGTGAAGCTTCTGGCTTGTTCAGCCAGCCCTGGAAAAACAAACAAGACAGCTTTGCTATTAGATACACTTAATCTATTGTAGCTTAATATCCTCTCACCTGTGCCAGTTCGGACTTTTTGAAGCAATTGGAATTGAACTACAATTATATTAATGAGGACCCTTGAAGATACTCCATTCCTTTCACCAGATTTTTGGCTTTTTTTAACAAAGGAAAATTAATACAGCTTTTAACTAACTGTGTTATGCCTGAGGTAAAATTGAATTCCCAGTGTAGTTTCTATTTCCCTACAGACAGCAATCTTAATTGGGAAACTTGGCATGTAAAACACCTGTTGAAAGTCTTGATGTACAAACTTTAGTTGTAATCCATATGTAATAGCCAAAGAGAATTGTATAGTGGGACCATTTTAATTTTTCTTGGTTCTGAGAGAGTTAGTAGATTAACCATGTGTATTATCTATGTAGTTATTTAAAAAGTTGGCTGTAGTCCTCCTTGATTGGCTGGGAGCCACTGAGAAGATTTAGATGGGGGTGGGGGTGGGAGGAGTGGGGGAGAGAAGGCTGTATCCCATTAGTGTTGTGTGTTTGTGGTTCATTCTCACTTCTGGTACCAAGTAGTAGAACCAGAAATAGCAGTCTGCCTTTCTGTAGCACTGGTCATTAGTAATAAATAAAGCTGGTGAATTCTAGAATTTTAGACCTCAAAGAGACTGTTAAAATATCTAGATTGAGGGTTCTTTACTTGGGGTACATTAGTAGGTCTATAAAACCCTTGAGATGGTATGAAAAATTGTATATGTATGTGCATAATGTTATTTTTTTCATGTAGAGAGTCCATAGTTGTTGTCAGTGCTCAAAGAGTCCTTAATTCCTTCCCTAAATGATTAAGAACTACATTTTACAGACTTAGTACCACTAAGAGCAGGGAGTATATATCTTAAACTAATGGAGCATTTGTGACTACATGGATGCTAAGTGAAATAAGCCAGACGGAGAAAGGCAAATACTGTATGATTTTACTTATATGTGGAATCTAAAAAAGGCCAAACTCATAGAAACAGAAGATTAGATTGGTGGTTGTCAGGGGCTGGTGGTGGGTAAAGGGGCTTGTTGGTCAAAGGGTACAAACTTTTAGTCATAAAATGAGTAACTTCTAGGGAAGCTAATATACCTGTAGCATAGAGACACTAGTTAACAATATTGTATTGTATACTTGAAAGTTGCTAAGAGAGTAGACCTTAAATGCTCTCACTACAAAAAATAAAAGAACATAATTATGTAAGGTGTTAATTAACCTTATTGTGGTAATCATTTTGCAATATACATGAGTGGGCAAAAGTAGGTTTACAGTTGTTCATATAGAAAACAATACAATAATTAATAAATAATAATACAGGAATAAACTCTGGTTTCGTGTACTCAAAACTGTAAACCTACTTTTGCCCACCCTGTGTGTGTGTATATGTATATATATGTGTGTGTGTGTGTGTGTATATATATATATATATATCAAATCATTGTATTGTATACCTTAAACTTACACAATGTTATATGTCAACTCTATTTCAAGAAAGCTGGAAAACAAAATATTTTAGGGGCTAAGATGAAATGCTTTAACAAGATTCCCTGGAAGCCAGAGATAATATAACTGGGCATGAGATTCATAAACATAGGAATTCAAAGACAATTAGCAGTGGTTATTTTCTTCTCCAAAATAAATTGTATATGTAAACCATAATCTTTGTTCTTTGAGGTTATATGCTAAAATATTAGGGGTAAAGGGTGATGATACCCGCAGCTTACTTTCAAATGATTCAGAAAAAAATTGTGCACGTCTGTGTGTTTGTGTGTGTATAGAGAAATAAAAGAAATGTGGCAAAATGTTAACAGTTGCCCAGCTGGAGTGGCTCAGTTGGTTGAGCATTGACCTGTGCACCGAACGGTTGCCAGTTTGATTCCCAGTTAGGGTGCATGCAGAAGGCAACCGGTTGATGTGTTCCTCCCCCCCAAGCATGTTCTTGGATGAGGATTAAAAAAAAAAAGAAAGAGCCCTGGCCAGTTTGGCTCAGCGGTTAGAGCGTCGGCCTGCGGTCCGGAGAGACCCAGGTTCGGTTCCTGCTAAGGGCACGTACCTCGGTTGCAGTTTGTCCCCGGCCCTGGTTGGTCGTGTGGGTGGCAGCCACTCGATGTGTCCCTTCACGTCGATGTTTCTCTCTCTCTCCCCCTTCCTCTCTCTCCCTCCCACTCTATCTGTACAAAAAATGGAAAAATATCCTCTGGTGAGGATAAAAAATAAAAAAATATAAAAAAAAAAAAAAAAAAGAAAGAAAGAAACAAAAAATGTTAACAGTTGGTGGATCTAGGTGTTTCATTGAAATTGTTTTCAACTTTTCTGTAGTTTGAAATGTATCAATGTAACAGACTAGAGGAAAAACATAGGTCCATGCCTGTACCCACCAGTGTGTGTGTGTGTGTGTGTGTGAGAGAGAGAGAGAGAGAGAGAGAGAGAGAGATGAATATCTAAGGGAGGATTGGTAGCTTTCATTTAAGAACACAATCAGCCAGATGTTTTCAACCAAAATGTCAAACTGAGATGGTGTTCATGAAAGTTGACTTTCTCTCCTTCCCTTTCTCCCTCCTCTCTCTTCTCTTTCCTCCATCGTGCCCAATTTTTTTTTAAAAAAAGAAAGTTGATTAGAGATGCTAACATCATATATATTCTTTTTTTTCTGTTTAACTGTCATAAAAACACCACACATATATTCCAGTTAAAACAATTTTTAATGAGGGGAGAAGCTTATGGGGAAGTAATGAAACTAGTTTTCAATTAGTTTTTTAACAAAGTCAGACTAAGTGTCAACAGGAGAGACATCCTTTAATTTAGAGCACCAATAATTCTTAATTCATTTCTTAGTTATTTATGAATTTATGTGGAAACATATAAATTTGTGTGTATTTTTGCTTTACGTGATTTAAAGAGAGAGACAGAAAACCAAATAAGCTGTTGTCAATGCCTTGTTTTTTAGCACACCAAGACATTCTTTTATCAATGACATGGAGTTAAAATTTGGAATACTTTTGTTTCTCTATCCTCAGAATTCAGCCTATTGGAACAATTGGTTTCTTGGTCAGAATGAGAATTTCATTTACACTGTTTCCCAAATTAATTAATTCTAAATGGTAGATTTTGATGATACTAAAAGTGTTGTTGGTTTGGATAGACTATCAGCACATATCTTCCTCCATATCTTCCCCACTTTTTCAGAATGGGCCCATATCATATAGTCGAAGCATTTTAGTCTTGCTGGGATTTGAGACTTTTTTTTTAATCCCTGGTAATGAAGCTGTGTCTATACCCAAAATGCATCCCAGAAAACTGATGCAGAGAGGGGGGACTCCATCCCCACCCCATCTTCAACTGTTAATCTGTAGAATATGAGTGCTGATTGATTGTGACCAGTTGTTTGAAGTAGGGGAAGTACATCCTTGCAAAATCAAATCTTGTGAGGGGCATGAAAGAGCTGCATGGAGGAGTGAACAAGGAAAGAAAGGAAGGAAAACTGCACCCTAGAGATTTTGGGGTTTTTTTTGTTTTTGTTTTTTTTAATTTTTATTTTTTATTCTCACCCGAGGACACTTTTGCATTTATCTTCAGATAGAGTGGGAGAGAGAGAGGGCGAAAGAGAGAGAGAGAAACATCAATGTGAGAGAGACACATCGAGTGGCTGCCACCCACACTACCCCAACTGGGGCTGGGGACAAACTGCAACTGAGGTACGTGCCAAACCCAGGACTATCTGGTCCACGGGCCGATGCTCTAACCGCTGAGCCAAACTGGCCAGGGCTGTTTTTAATTTAAAAATTTTTACTGAAATATAACACACATATGGAAAAGAGTACAAGCATTGGTGTACAAGCTGATTAATGATCACAGAGGTTCCCTGGCCGGTTTTGGACTTGATACCCGGTAGGGGGCATGCAGGAGGTAGTGGACTAGTGTTTCACTCAAACATTGATGTTTCTCTCTTTCTCCCTTCCTCTCTGTCTATAAAAATCAATAAACTATTCTTTAAAAAAAAAGAATGATCACAAAGATAACAGATACAGGTAATTACCCTTTAGGTCACTTTTAATCTCTCCGATGATAGCTTTAAATCTCATCATTGTCAAGGCTACTGAATATATCTAGAAATACTTGCCTTTAGGTTTTTTTAAATTTTTAAAAAATGTGTTTTTATTGATTTTAGAGAGAGAGGAAGGGAGAAGCAGAGAGAGATAGAAACATCGATGAGAAACCGCCATTGGCTGCCTCCTAAACACTCCCTACTGGAGATCAAGCCCATAACCTGGGCATGTGCTCTGACCGGGAATTCAACAGGTGACCTTTTGGTCCATGAGTTGATGCTCAACCACTGAGCCACACCAGCTGGGTTGCCTTTGGGTTTTAAATTGCATTTCTTTTTTTTTTTATCCTCACCCAAGGACATTTTTTTCCATTTTTTTGTTCAGATAGAGAGGGAGGGAGAGAAAGAGAAACATCGATGTGAAAGGGACACATCGAGTGGCTGCCACCTGCACGACCAACCAGGGCAGGGGACAAACTGCAACTGAGGTACACACCCTTAGTGGGAACCGAACCCAGGTCTCTTTGGACCACAGGCCGATGCTCTAACCGCTGAGCCAAACTGGCCAGGGCTAAATTGCATTTCTTAATGTCATTTATTTTATTTATTTATATTAATTAATTAATTTATTTATTTTTGTTATAAATGTTTCTCCTTTTCCCCTAGATACCCTCCTCCCTATCCCCCCCACCCCAGAATTGTTGTCTATGTCCATTGGTTATGCATATAAGTTCTTTGGTTTATCTCATCCCTCCCCACCGCACCCCTCCTCTGAGGTTTGTCAGTCTGAACCATACTCCTTTCTTTTTTTTTTTTATCCTCACTCGAGGACATTTTCCCATCTTTTTGTTCAGGTAGAGTGGGAGGGAGAGAGAGGAACTGAGAGAGAGAGAGAAACATCGACGTGAAAGGAACACATCGAGTGGTTGCCACCCGCACGACCGACCAGGGCCGGGGACAAACTGCAACCGAGGCACGCGCCCTTAGCGGGAACCGAACCCGGGTCTCTCAGGACCGCAGGTCGATGCTCTAACCGTTGAGCCAAACCGGCCAGGGCATGAACCATACTCCTTTCTATTCTAGGTCTATTTTGTTCATCAGCTTATTTTGTTCATTATGTTCCACAAATAAGTGAGATCATGTGGTATTTGTCTTTTTCTGATTGGCTTATTTCGCTTAGCATAATACTCTCCAGGTCCCAGCATGTCATATCTCAATGTCATTTATTTTTATATTTCTAATATTTTCTTGGTTTATGTGTGTGTTTAATTTTCCTTAGATTCTTAACCACTTGCTTGTCTCTAACTGGATGCAGTGAGGATTTTTTTTTTTTTTTTTATCCTCACCCGAGGACATTTTTCCATTTTTTGTACAGATAGAGTGGGAGGGAGAGAGAGGAAGAGAGAGAGAGAAAGAGAGAAACATCGACGTGAAAGGGACACATTGAGTGGCCGCTATCCACACGACCAACCAGGGCCGGGGACAAACTGCAACCGAGGCACCTGCCCTCAGCGGGAACTGAACCTGGGTCTCTCCAGACCACAGGCCGACGCTCCAACCACTGAGCCAAACTGGCCAGGGCCAGTGAAGATTTTTTAAATAAATTTTGTCTATGTTTAGGAGAGCTGAGTCAATATTGGGTCGATAAAGCCAGGCATAATGGCAGCTGTGCTGGTAGTACTGGGGAAGACAGAAAGAGAGGTAGCAAAGAATCTAGGGACTCCTAGCCTGACTGCCATTCTCTCCTTTCATAAAATCTTTCTGTTTTAAAGTGTTTTGGAAGGTTGGGGTACAAGGAAGTACTTTTCTTTCATTGTTGGCACAGTGTCATCTTTGCCCAAGGTCGGCACATCTCTGTTTAGCTGCCTCCATCTCTGACTGTAGTCCTGCTGGCTAGCTTCCGGCCTGGGAAATGGGTCTACATTCCACCCTGTTTCTCTTGCTGCTCCTGCATGAACTCCTTGTGTTTCCTTTTAGCAGCCTTCTTTGTGGATCTCATACCCTTCAGGTGGCCTTTTTTGTGCAGTAGTACTCCAGAATCCTTAGCTAGTGGGGCCTCTGTCCTTCTACCACTGCTATTGCAGCTGTCCTCACTAAGTGCTCTGTTTGCTGAGCCAGCCACCTTTTCTCTGATAAGAGCACTTTAGTTTATATTTTGTCTTTTTATTTATTTATTATTTTATCTTCACCTGAGGATATTTTTCCATTTTTTGTTCAGACAGAGTGGGAGGGAGAGAGAGGAAGAGAGAAACATTGATGTGAAAGGGACACATCGAGTGGCTGCCACCCGCACAACCAACCAGCGCCAGGGACAAACTGCAACCTAGGTACAGTTTGGGAACTGAACTTGGGTCTCTTTGGACAGCAGGCTGATGCTCTAACCACTGAGCAAAACCGGCCAGGGCTATATTTTGTCTTTTTAATTAAACAATCCCACCTGTGAATGGCAGCATAAATGTTATTGATGATAATTCCCACCGCTTAACTTGGACTCTCAGAGATGATCAAAGGGAGGTTTTTGAGGTTTGTTCAGGTTTTCTGATTATGCCTCTGCCTTAAATTATACAATAAATCTAGAGTTACCTGTATTCCTATGATGACCCTTTGGTTTTCTTTTGAACTGAAAGATGGCTTTTTAAACTATTTTTTTAACTTAAGAATTTTTTTTTTTATCCTCACCCGAGGACACTCTTCCATTCTTTGTTCAGATAGAGTGGGAGGGAGAAAGAGGAAGAGAGAAAGAGAGAAACATCAACGCGAAAGGGACACATCGAGTGGTTGCCACCCGCACGACCAACCTGGACCAGGGACACACTGCAACCGAGGTATGCGCCCTTAGCAGGAGCCGACGCTCTAACCGCTGAGCCAAACTGGCCAGGGCTTAACTTAAGAATTTTTCATTATTAAATACCTAAGACATGCAAAAATACATAAAGAATAATACATGCTATGAATCTATTTCAGCTTAAAAAATAAAATATTACACAGAGTTGCCTCTCTATATACTTTTATCTCCTTCCTTGTAAAATTCCTAAATAACATATAATATTATTTTGCATTCTTTTAACTTTATATAAATGGTAAAATACAGTATATATTCTGTTGACATCTGTTTTTTTTCATCATTAAATTTTGACTCACACACAGTTAAATGCTAGCTACTTTGGCTCCTCTGAATTACTCTGTTTTATAATAGGTTTCAGCATTGATTTTATACTATCTAAATAAGATTCTCTGATCATTAAATCAGCAGTGCTACCCCATTTTGATTCAAAGACTTTTTCCATCTATAATCTGACCCATGTTTACTTATAAGGTTGCCTAACTTTTTTTCATTCTGGAACACACCTATGAACTTGTTGGGACACACCAGGGGAAGCCAAGAGCTTTCCACCCCATCTCACTCTTACCTATCCAGCTGCTCAACCACACCCATCCCTCTTCCTCTGTGGAAGTCAGTACTTGAAACAGGAGAGCTCAGAAGAAAACGCAGGATACTGTGACATACAGGGGATCTTTACACTTTGTGTGAAAATATTTCACTGTGCTGATGGGACTCTGGAATCCTTAGGCCAGTGATAATAACTCTTTAAAATGGCTGAGCCCTGGTCATTTTGGCTCAGCGATTAGAGCGTCAGCCTGTGGACCAGAGTCCTGGGTTCGGTTCCCACTAAGGGCATGTACCTTGGTTGCAGTTTGTCCCTGCCCCAGTTGGGGTCATGTGGGTGGCAGCCACTCGGTGTGTCTCTCTCATGTTGATGTTTCTCTCTCTCCTCTTTCTCCCTCCTGCTCTATCTGAAGATAAATGGAGAAATGTCCTCGGGTGAGGATAAAAAAAAAATGGCTGGTAACTTTGCTTTGCCACCTAGTTGTTCATATAGCCATTCAACAGGTATTTATTGTTTGTTCCCTGTGCCAGGTATTGGCAATAAACATGGTCCCTGCCTTTGTGGAACTCATAGTCTGGGGAGGGAAACACATATTAGTCAGTCACATAAATAATATAAAAGTTATAACTGTGAACAGTGCTATGGAAGAACGTGCATAATGGGAAGATTTTACCTAGTAGGGTTAGGGGTTAATGTGCCTTCCTGAGGAAGTGATTATTTTACTGAGATCTGAAAACTGTGTGGGAGTTCACTAGGGAAAGAGAAGACGTTTTTCAAGGTTAAATGTAAAGGTCTGGGAGCAGGAGGGCGTGGCATGTTCATGATGTTTGAACCCAGAAAGTCAGAGGCGGGGGAAGCGAGTGTGAGATGCCCCTAGAGAGGTGGGGCCATGTGGGTCATGGAAGGACTTTTGTTTTCATCCTAAAAGCAACAGGAAGTAATTTGTTTTATGTGTTTCGTTGTTTTTTGTTTGTTTGTTTGTTTTTTGTTTTTTGCAGTTTAAAAAGCAGAAACTCCTCCTCGAATTAGACCAGTATGCCCCAGATGTGGCCGAACTCATCCGGACGCCTATGGAAATGCGCTACATCCCTCTGAAAGTGGCCCTGTTGTAAGTATTCTCTGACAAAGCAGGGCTCGGTGCCAACAAATGCGAGGAAAATCTGATGAGACTTTCTCATGTTGTTTGTTGTATTTTTGGAGATTTGCAGTCTTAGTCATCAAGTATTTGCTGTAGTTCTGTTGCACAACCGGGGTTCTGGCCAGCAAAAGAGACAGAGCCATTCTGTTTCTGTTGGGACAAAGCCTCACACAGGGACATGCACAATCAACCCTTCACAGATGCTTTTTTACTCAATGCTGATCTGGGCTCTAGCCTACTTGTTTCTTAAAAAAAAAAAAAAATCATTCTTCAGTTGTGATATATGGATTGAATAAAATTCTGATCTTTATGTGCTTGTTGTTTTGAGCAGTTTCTATCCATCATGTACAAGTTAGTCCCCCTATTTGTAGTTCAGACAACAGAAATAAAGTCCCAAATGTCAGACCCTCCCAGATGCTCAGATGGATGACCTGTATGAGAGAGTGAAATTTACTGAGGCTCTGCGAAAGAATTCCCTAGGAGTACTCAGTGCTGCCAGGAAGTTTAATTCTTTCAGGTTATTCCCGTTTATATTCCTGAGATAGGCATTGTGAATAATTATTTAGTTGATTAATTGTCGTTGAATATTAATAATATACTAGTTTTGAGGATATACAATAAACAAGATAAACAAGTTTCCTCATGGAAAAACATGACCTTAGAACTTCAGACCTAGAAGGGGCCCTTTGAGGACAGTTTATTCATCCTTCTGCCTTTGTGTGAATCTCCTGTTCAGTAGTCCAGATAGTTGGCTGTGTAGCTGCTTCTTGAACATCACATCTTCTATTTAGAAATGGTTCCCCACCACCAGTTTTGAGGTATCAGTTCACATCTGTATATTTCAAAAATATTGGTGGGAACTACTTAATAGAATCAGGGGTTTAGCAACATTGTGAATCCCTTATGGACTAATATGTCTACTGAGGGTAGTTTTGTAATAGCAGCAGCCATTTCTTTAAAGGTTGTGTAATAAGCCTATCTGTAATAGCTGAAAAAAAAACACGAACAACTTCCAGACCTTTATCTTTAGAACTGCTAGTCTTACAGCCCTGGGAGGTATTGGATTTAAGGTCTTTATTTGTAAATAATAATTATAATCTCCCTGAGACACTGGTATGTTTCTTCCTATCTGATAATCAGAATTATGTAACTGGTTTCCCTTTTCACTCTGTCTGCCAAGAAATGCAGAGCCAGATTTGAAGCTGATTATTACAGTGCTGTAGAAGACCCATTGGGTCTTCTTTCCCTTTCTTTTCCTTTCTCCTTTTATTTATGTTTACCCTAGTCTTGATTCTTTATTTCTATTTTTATGTTACTGGTATTTTTTATTATCTGTTCTTATTTGAGCCACCTTTAATCTTTTGTGGAAGCAAGAGAGAAATAAATAAAAGTAATAATCCATTATGACTATGTAAGATTTCCCTACTCACCACATTTCAGATTCATTTTCTCAGTCCAATCCTTTCCATCTCAGGAAAAGACTAGATGTTTCAGCTTAATTCCTTCCCAGTGGAAATTCAAGTGTCCTGTGAAGTTCTATAGAAACTAGCTTATCGAAGTCAACAGATAACTTATTCTGTTCTTGGAGTCTGGATGGATAGATACTATTTGACTACATAGAGGGCTACATCTAAGCTGTTCTGACCTCTTGAATGGGGGTAGCCTGTGTCACAACTTAGGAACCTGACTGAGGAAAAAGTTCTTTTTCTGGTTTTCAGAGAAGTGTAGCCATTCCTAAGATACATGGTTGTGGGAAAACTGGAATAATTTTATCATTTTTAAGTCTGAAATTAGAGCGGGAAAGACCTAATTTTGAGTGTATTCACTAGCTTGTGAAACCTTGGGCAAGTTAGTTAATCACTGGGTCAGCTTCCTCATCTGAACAATGGGAATAATGTTATTGCTGGTTTATAGGGTCTCTGTAATGATTAAATAAGATGGTTTTCTATAGACCACATAGAATAGGGAGTGAGTGTTCTGTGCCTTTTACTCATTGGCCTCAATCCCACTCCATTCTCTTTTACTTCAGAGAACTCATTTCAAAGAATCTACCTTCCTTTGTATGCTTTTAGTAAATCTCTTTCTGGCTCTAGTGGCCAAGACACCCTTGGTCCTTTGACCAGGATTACTAATACCAAATTTGTGTGTTTTTCCCCAGCTATCTCTTAAATCCCTACACGGTCTTATCTTGTGTTGCCAAGTCTACCTGTGCCATCAACAACACCCTCATTGCTTTCTTCATTTTGACCACAATAAAAGGTAAGACCCCAAAAAACTACAAAGCCCTGATTTGTGTAGGGTTTTGTAACATTTGTGTTATGGATTTAAAAAAAAATACAATGCAACACTTAAAAGCATTTAAAAATATTTACACAAGTATGAGTGAATAAAAAAGTTGTGGTACATTTACACAATGAAATATTTCTTGGCTGTCATAAAGAAGGAAGGAACTCTTACCTTTTGCTACATCATGGATGGACCTGGAGAGTATTATGCTAATTGAAAGGAGTCAGTCAGAGAAAGACAAGTACCACACGATTTCACTTATATGTGGAATCTAATGAACAAAATAAACTAACAAACAAAATTAAAAGACTCACAGATGATACATAAAACAAACTGACAGCTGTCAGAAGGAAGGGTAATTGGGCACTGGGTGAAAAGGTGAAGGAATTAAGCAAAAAAAACAACAACTAAAAACAAAACAGATAACAGTAGGGTGATTGCCAGAGGAGAAGGGGGGTGGAGGAGGTGGAAGAGGGCAGAAGGGGTATAAATGGTAGTGGAAAGAGACTTGTCTTTGGGTGATGAGCACACAATGCAGTATGCAGATGATGTTTTATAGAGTTGTACACTTGAAACCTTATGGTTTTATTAAGCAGTGTCACCCCAAGAAATTCAATTAAAAAAAACTACCAAAAAAATTACACAAGTAATACAAGATTATTACAGAAAATTTAGATAAGTCAAGAGAAAAAATTTAATTAAAACATTTTGAGCCCTGGGTGGTATGGCTTAGTTGGTTGGGTGTTGTCCCATGCACCAAAAGGTTGCCAGTTGGATTCCTGGTCAGGGCACATGCCTGGGTTGTGGGCTTCATCCCTGGTAGGAGGTGTACAGGAGGCAGCTGATCAATGTTACACTCTCACATCGATGTTTCTCTTTCTCCCTCTCCCTCTCTCTCTAAAAATGAATAAATTGTTCTTTTATTTATTTATTTATTTTTTATCCTCACCCGAGGACATTTTTCCATGTTTTGTACAGATAGAGTGGGAGGGAGAGAGAGGAAGGGAGAGAGAGAGAGAAACATCGATGTGAAGGGACACATCGAGTGGCTGCCACCCGCACGACCAACCAGGGCCGGGGACAAACTGCAACCGAAGTACGTGCCCTTAGCGGGAACCGAACCCGGGTCTCTGCGGACCGCAGGCCGACGCTCTAACCGCTGAGCCAAACTGGCCAGGGCAATAAACTGTTCTTTTAAAAAAAAAAAAAAATCTTGAAATTCTGTCGTTCAGAGAGTTACTGTTAAAATTAACGTCATTAAAAAAATTGTTTTTCTAGGCTTATAATGAGATAACAGCCCTCTGCCTCTCTTCTCAGCATCTTCAAAGCATCTGCTTTTGGCTTTTGCTAGTATTTACTTCCATATTTCTAAATAAGACTTCATATTGCTATTTAATGAATTATAAATTTTAGACATTATCTATTTCATTCTCATGGAAGATAAAGATTGAGCTTTTTTGTACCAATATCTCTGCTTTCTCTTTACCTCATTTTCTTCAAGGAGTTATGTCTCAGTTTTGATTAAATCAGTAGTTGGTACCTGTATTTTATGACACTGTATGTATATTTACTGCTGGGCAAAAAAGTAACTAAGGTTACTTTTTCTTTCTTGTACAACCTTTTATTTTTCATAGGGTCAATAATTCTCTCTCTCTCTCTTTTTTTGCTTGCTTCTTATTTTTGCTTAGTCTAGATCTGTCAAGTGCCTGGCAATATTTTTTTTTTAAATGCTTAGAGACATCAAATCGTCTATCAGTTCTATTATTTTTCTGGATACCACCCTCATGCATTCTCCATTCTTACCCAGTCTGTCCTGGTTGTTGTCTGGGCCTGGTGCAAAGCGGTCATAATGGGACTTCCGTTTATAATTCTCATGATTCTCCTGCATTGTATTCCTTATTTTCTGGATTCCTTCTCTCATTTACTGATTTTTTTTTCTCTTTGTTTTGCTTAAGTAGCTCCTCTAATAGTTTCTAAGAAAGGGTGTATTAAATACATATCTTGAGCCATGGTTGGTATGTCTTAGTGGTTAGAGTGTTGGCCCATGTTCAATTCCTGGACAAGGGCACGTACCTGAGTTGCAGGCTGTGTGCAGGAAGCAATCAATTGATGTGTCTCTCTCCCGCTGATGTTTCTCTCTCTTCCCCACCTCCCTCTCTTACACTCTCTCTAAAAATCAATGGAAAAATATCCTTGGGTGAGGATTAATAGCAACAGCAAAAAATACATATCTTGAGTCATTTTATATCTGAAAAATATATTTGTTCTAGCTTAGTTCCAAATTAATGGTTGGGGCAGAGTATAGAGTTCTAGTTTGAAAAAACTTTTCCTTCAGAATTTTGAAGGCTTTGCTTTACTGTCCTCCAACATCCTGGTTGTTATTGAGCAGTTTGATATCATTATATGTAACTCAATTTTTTTCAGAAAGATTTAGGAACTTCTTTTTATGCTTAGTGTTTTGAAATTTCATGATGCTGTGTCTTTTTTTTTTTTTTTTCTTTGTTGATTTGAGAGAGAGGAATGGAGAGGGAGAGAGAGATAGAAACATCTATAAGAGAGAACATCGATTGGCTGCCTCCTGCATGCCCCCCACTGGAGATTGGGCCCACAGCCTGGGCATTTGCCCTGACCAGGAATCGAACCGGCAACCTCTTCGTGCATGGGTCAGGACTCAACCAGTGAGCCACACCAGCTGGGCTATGATGCTATATCTTGACATGAGTCTTCATTCATTGATTATACTGGGCACTTGGTAGGTCTTTTTCAATGTAGAGACTAGTGTCCTTTAGTTCTAGAAGGTGTTTCTGTACTATTTTTCAAATTCTCTTTGTTCCCTTATTTTGAACATCCATTAGATACTGGACTTCCTTTTTTTTTTTTTAATCCTCACCCGAGGATTTTTTTTTTTTTTTTGTACAGATAGAGTGGGAGGGAGAGAGAGGAAGGGAGAGAGAGAGAGAGAAACATCGACGTGAAGGGACACATCGAGTGGCTGCCACCCGCATGACTAACCAGGGCCGGGGACAAACTGCAACCGAAGTACGTGCCCTTAGCGGGAACCGAACCCGGGTCTCTCCGGACCGCAGGCCGACGCTCCAACCGCTGAGCCAAACTGGCCAGGGCTGGACTTCCTTTTTTAAAAAATTCTTTAAATTTATTATTTCAGTAAATCTTACGATAACTGTTTACATAATTGGGAATTTCCAGGGCTTGGAATCACTTCTCTGGAATGTAGATTTATTTTATACTTGATGGATTTGAATTACTTTTTTTTTTTTTTTTTTTGGTATGTGCCCCTAGCGGGAACCAAACCCAGGACTCCCTGGTCTGTAGGCCGATGCTCCAACTGCTGAGGCAGACTGGCCAGGGCTGGGCTTTCTTGATTTATTTAATTTGTATATTTTATTTCCTATTGATCATTCCATCGTTTTTACTTCCTCTTTTTCTGGGATATTTCTTTATTTTTATCTTCCAACTCTTCTATTGAATTTTTAATTTTTCTTTTTTTTTTTTAAATCCTCACCCAAGAATACTTTTGCATTTATCTTCAGATAGAGCAGGAAGGAGAGAGGGAGGGAGAGAGGGAGGAAGAGAGAGAGAGAGAGAGAGAGAGAGAGAGAAAGAGAAACATCGATGCAAGAGAGACACATCAACTGGCTGCCACCTGAGTAACCCCAATGGGGGCTGGGGACAAACTGAAATCGAGGCACATGCCTTTGGCCAGAATCAAACCTAGTACTCTTTGCTTCATGGGCCAATGCTCTACCATTGAGCCATAACGGCCAGGGTGAATTTTTCTTTTTTTTGTTAATCCTTACCAGAGGATATTTTTTTCCATTGATTTTTTTAGATAGAGTGGAAGGAAGGGAGGGAGAGAGAGAGACAGAGAGAGAAATATCCATGTGAGAGAGACACATCAATTGGTTGCCTCCCACACAACTCCGATGAGGGCTGGGGATCAAACCTACAACCCAGGTACCTGCCCTTGACTGGTAATCAGACCTATGACCTTTTAATCCATAGGCCGACGCTCTAACTGCTGAGCCAAACCAGCCAGGGCTTTTCTATTATATTTTTAAGTTCTTTCTTGGTCTCCAATTTTAGTTTTTTGAAGCAGCCTATTATTATTTTTATCACCACAATATTCTTTCTTATTTCTCTGAGTTTGTTTGTTTCCATTTCTCATCTGTTCCAGGCATAGTCTTTCTGTCTTCCTGGTCATCACCACTTTGTTTTCCTGTTTTTTTTGGACTCTATCTTTCATATGGGAGGATTTTCTCTTATTTTTGGTGATTCTTGGCTGTCTGTTTATGTTTAAGAATGAGGCACTAACATGTTGATTTGAGACTGCTTGGGCAGGACTTGTTAATGGATCATTCTCACTGTAGGTGAGATTGGGCATTGGGCTGACCTTTCTTGTTGGAGGTATCCCTAAATGTCATCATTTATAGGTTTTCTTTTTCTCTGAAACTATTTAGTGTTTCCAGAGAGGAATTCTTCAATTTCCTGCCTAAGGGTAACAGAGTTGGAGTTGCAGTGGGATGGGGGTGGGGGTTCATGTGACCAACTGCTGAAATTGTGAGAGTAGAAACAGAGGAGATGGCGATTGTAATGTATAGACTTCATGTAATCTCATTACTCTCAGCCCACGCTTCTCCTCAGCCCATTACTATGATTAGTATGCCCTAGACCTGTGCCTCTTCAGCTAATATTCTCCAGAACTGTAGTGTCTGGGAATGGAACAGAAAGTTAGAAGGATGGAATATGTAGGGATAGTTACCTGGCTGCACATACTGAGATCAGACCTGGGATTCTGCCTGGTCTGTATACAAACTTTAAGCTTGATTTTCATCTCTGTACCTTACCTCACTTTTCATAGTATCTGATGCCTTCAAGGTACTGACTTTCTCAGAAGTCCTGTAGGGTGACTTGGCCTAATTTGTATTGGTATTCCTCTCTGAGGTTCCTGTGCT